ATACGTTACTTGAATGCTACAGAATTCTCTTACGGCCTAAGAATCCAGAAATCCTAAGGATCCTTTATTGACTTACATATTTCCAGAAGGTCATTACATTGAAAATAATGCAATTCAAAAACTTTTTTGCAATATCCATAAGGATTTTTCTCAATAGAAAGCTATTTGTTTGTTTTTTGGAAAAGTCTTGCTATTAACCCAGAGTGACCTGGAATTCAGGATCTTCCTGTCTCGACTCACTGAGTGCCTGCATCATAGGTGTGCACCACCAAGCCCAGCCAAGTCCTCAGTCTTACTCTGTACCACCAACATGAGCTGCTTTCCAAGAGGGTTCCCAGGAGCCCCCTTAAGATTAACACAAAGTTATGATGGAGCCTTTGGTCCAGGATGCACGCTCTGTTCTCAGAATACCCACACGTCCTTCTATATCCAAATTTTAAAAGAGGCCTTCTTTTTATGGCTCAGAGGAGGCCTCCTCCCAACTTATCAGAGACATGGCAACTTCTCTCTTTAGCAACTAGCCTGCTGCTTAACCTTTAGTGGCCTTGGCTTCCCACTCTAAAGTCAGGTCCATGGAGGTAGACAAATGGTACTTTGCATGTTTCCTGATTGAGGCTTTGAGCCACAGTAAAGAGAAAAGCTAAGAATTAACATCTTTTAGCTTTCCTGTCATTCTAATCAGTGCAAAATATTGGAAGAAGTCTGAATTTGTGTCAATCCCCTCCAGCCGCAGATCACTGTGAGCACACACAGTTGGATCCATCACTTAACGTAATTAGAGAGATGCATGTGGGGATTCACCAGGTGTCTCTGTAGAGGGATTAGAAAGGGTCGCTACTAGATGTGGGATATGTTAGATCAGTTCAAAGAAGTAAAGCTCTCTGTATTGGTTGTTGTCAAGAAAAGGGAATGTGGGGCTGGAGAGATGCTCAGCAGTTAAGAGCACTGGCTGCTCTTGCAGAGGACCTGGGTTTGGTTGCCAGCACCCACATGGCAGCTGACAACCTTCTATGACTCCAGTTCCAGGGACTCCAACGCCCACTTCTGGCCTCTGTGGGTATTTCACGATTCAAGTGCACTTACAAACATGCAGGCAAAATGCTCATTCTCATAAAATTTTAAAATAATAAATAAAATATTTTTTATAAAAAGAAAAGGGAATGAGGGAACTTGACAGTTTGTTCAGTCAATAAAGTGTCTGTCCCACAAGCATGAAGACCTGAGTTCAGATCCCCAGCATCCATGTAAAAATCTAGGTGTAGTGGTGCACATCTGCAATCCCAGCACCGGAGAGGCAGAGAGAGGAGAATCCCTGAGCTTGCTGGCCAAATGTCTAGCCAATGGTGAGCTCTAGTTTCAGTGAGAGAGATGAAGATACTACATGTTGTCACCTGGCAGAGAGAGAGAGAGAGAGAGAGAGAGAGAGAGAGAGAGAAATTCCATGATTGGAAAACATCACACCTGTACAAACAAATAAATTGAAGATAAAGGTACAATTGATGATGATTCAATGGCCATAAGTAGAGGAATATTGGACACTTTATATGTTTAGACAACACTCATGTTTCTGACACGTGTTGAGCCATGATTACAGAGTACTGTGCTTGTCTTGTTCCGACACAGCAGAGTGAGCTGGTCTGGAACTGATGTTCCATGAAACTTTAGGTCATATGAGGAAACTCCAAGCGTAATGAGGAACTACACAGCAACTATTAGCAGCCCCAGGGCTCAGCTGAGGCTGTAAAGCATGTGCCTGGCTGTCATTTCTGCCAGTTGTAGAAAGCAGAACCAAGAAATATAATGTAATCAGGGAGCATTAGAGACAGCTCCCTGAGGGACTGACATTTTAACTAAGAGCCTGAAATTGCAAAGGTCTTTTCTCTCCACAGTCCCAGGAGTTTATTTAGCCTTTTATTCTGTTTTCTTCCCTTTATAACACTATCATTTGTTACAAATGAATTATGCTTAGGAAGCAAGAGTCAAAGCTGGCTTCCTATCATCCTCGACCTTCTTTAAATCTGAGAACATTCCATGCACAAAGCTTCTGTCTCCTCTCCATTAAGAATTCTTGAGAAAATATAATCAAAATACCAGTTCAATTTAAAGGGTATAGTAAATGATAAATAATATACATTTTAAAAAATGAAATAACAATGTTTAAAGACATCGCAAGTTTGTAGGAAAATAATTTAGAAAATAATAGGATGATAGGAAATAATTTAATATTTCCCTCAAAATTATATGTAGAGTGGAAATTTTTTATTTAATAGTCAGGAGCTAGGAAGAGAGTGCAGTCAGTAAAGTGTTTGCCTTGCAGATGTGAGGAATTAAATTCATTCCCAGCACTCATTCACATGAAAAGTGACACATGGTAGCACACAGATTGTAATCCCAGTGCTAGGGAGGAGAGAGAGAGAAAGGGATTCCTCGGGTTCACTGGACAGTGAGCATGCACACACACACACACACACACACACACACACACACAATTAAAAACTGAAATTGTGCAAAGTCAGCGTATGAGTCTAATTGGTACCTGAGAAAAGAGGGAGGAAAGAAAACATACCTTTTTTTTCCTCTTCTGTTTCAAAGCTTAATGTTGTAAGGGAGGAATAATTTATCCCACCACAGAGTGAATTCATTATCCTGAGACACTTACTTTGAAAAGCCTTTGAAAGCTTTTGGAATTCCAGATCTTCAAAAGGCCTTAGAGATCAGAGGTTAGAGCCTTGGGTCCATGACTGAATACTCCCTGCTGTTAGGCTCACAAAGGGGACTAAGCAAGATCACCCACTGTCTGTCAAATGGAAGCACTCCTTTGAGAACCCGCTGTGAGAAGCCTGACCCCTGTAAGACATGGATTTCCACAAAAAACTCAGACATCTCCTCACAGAGTCTGTAAGTCCATGTCTTGAGCAACCTAAGACACTGTTTGCTACTTATGGCTTGGGAATTACAATTCCCAGGGGTACTGACATTTTTTATTATTTGGCACTGAGGGTGATCTCAGGCAAACAGAAAACATTGCTAGACGGATTGTTGTATGTCTTGAGGTCATCAAGATACAAGGCGTCAGTATACACCTCAAATAAACAGTCATTTGGAGGATTTTAGTTATATATTCACTTGGATTCAGTTTCAACAGATTCCTACGGAGGGCTAATCTGTTGGACACTGCTGAGTGTCTCCACCACACCACAGCAGATGCATGTTAGGCTGACCATCAACCACCCTGATTTTTGGAAGAGTGGTTAAGGGCCCACACACACTCCACATCACATTTACCCAAACAGTCTGGCTGCTGGTAAAGTTCAGCTTCTGAAAGAACACAGGACTCTAATCTCTGACCAAGAGCCAATCTTAGAAGTATGTTAAGGACAGATTGGGAAAGACCACAAATGAATTCAAGACCCAAGCATGTAAGTCCGCATAATAGATTTCATTTATAGATACAGAGATATGGTGTCTGAGGACCGTAGGAATGCAAATCAATTTCATACGCACTTACAAAAATGTCTGTCTAATTACAGGGTACCGAATCCAGTGCCCAGCATCTAAGAACTAG